TTGCTGTGAGCTAGGCTGACACCACGGCACTCTAGCCTGGGCAACACAATGAGACTCTGTCTCAAAAAAAAAAAAATGTATATGCAGTGGAAAGCACTGATCTTCAGTGTGCAGTTCAATGAGTTTTTAAAAATGCATAAAACTATGTAACTCCTATCTGTGTTGAAAAATAGTCATGTTTCACTTAATGATGGGGATACATTCTGAGAAATGCGTTGTTAGTGATTTGGTCATTTTGTAAACCTCATGGAGTGTACTTAAGCAAACCTAGATAGTGCAGCCTGCTACACACCTAGGTTGCGTGGTGTAGCCTATTGCTCCTAGGCTACAAACCTGCACAGCATGTTATTGTGCTGGATACTGTAGGCAACTGTAACATGATGGTAAGTATTTGTGTATCTAAACATACCTAAACATAGAAAAGGTACAGTAAAACATACGGTATTCTAATCTTATGGGACCACTGTCTTATATGTGGTCCACTGTTGACCGAAGTGTCGTTATGTGGCACATGAGTGTATAAAGCATTTTCATCACCTCCAGAAAGTTCCTTTTTGCTCGTATCAGACTGTCTCTCCAGTTGCCATGCTCAGAGGCAACGACTTTTAAAAGATTTTTTTCACGTATTAATAGTTTTGCCCACTCGAGCATTTACATGTATGGAATCATGCTGTATGGGGCTGTATGTGTCTGACTTCTTTCCTTCAAAACGGTTATACCATTTTGCATTCCTAAGAACAATCTTTGAGATTTCCGTTTGTTCTTTATACTCATCAGTATTTAGCAGTGTCAGTCTTTTTAATTTTACCCATTCTGTTAGGCGTAGGGCTATCTCCTGGTTAATTTGCTGACTAATGGTGTTGAGCACTTTGTCATGTTCATATTGGCTATTCTTCTGTCTGTTCTTGTGAAGTATCTGTTCAAATCTATTGCCAATTTTTTAACTGGGTTATTTGTCTTTTTTATTGTCGACATATTCTGGGTATAAATTCTTTATTGGATTTATAATTTTTGAATATTTCTTTCCAGTATGTGGCTTGCCTATTCATTTTCTTAGTGATCTCTTTTGAGAAACAAATGTTTTAAATTCCAGCAAAACACACGCCTGTGTAATGGAACCTCTATAAAAACCCCAAACAACGGGGCTCAGAGAACTTCCAAGTTGCTGAATACAGTGAGGTGCTGGGAATGCGGTGCACCTGGGGAGGGCAAGGAAAAATCTGTGCCCCTTCCCAGTACCTTGTCCTATGCGTCTCTTCCATCTGATGCTCTGAGTTATATCCTTTTATGATAAGCCAGTAATCTAGTAACTAAACTGTATTCCTGAGTTCTGTGAGCCATTCTAGCAAGTGACCTGAGGATGGGGTCGTCGGCACCCTTGATATAGGTGGAGCCCGGCCCTCACCTGTAATCCCAGCACTTTGGGAGGCCAAGGTGGGAGGATCACTTGAAGCCAGGAGTTCAAGACCAGCCTGGGCAATATAGCAAGACCCCCTCTCTTAAAAAAAATTTTTTTTTAATTAGCTGGGTGTGGTGACACATGCCCATAGTCCCACCTACTCAGGAGGCTGAGGCAGGAGGATC